TTATGAGATCATAAAAGTGTAACTAAATAAGACAATGCAATACACCACAAAAATTAAATGCTAAAACAATATAAAGGAGATGAGTTAGGGAATAGTTAGCCAATAGTGAGAATTTCATAATCACAACCCGGTATTAAAGCCGGAACTTCTTCACAATGATCTCCTCTTGAGATCTCACAACCACACAGTAGATCTCCATAAAATCAAGCTCTCCACAAGTTACAAATGAAAGAAAAGAAACCCTCTTACAACAACCCTATGGCAAGATGAAGAGATTGCAATTGAAGCTTGAGATATGTGATTTGTAAGTGTGAAAACAATTGAAAGTTGAAACTCTTTTTAAACAATAAACACAAACTTAAGAGATTTTAAATGCTTGCTTGATTACTGAAGTGAATGGGGTTGGTGGGTATTTATAAGCATTCAAGAGAACAACTAAACCCCAAGGAAACATAAAAAAACATTCAAAAACCAAGAAATCTTGCAACTGTACAAAACTAGCCGTTGAAAGCTTATGACTCGACTGACGGGGTTCATCAGTCGACTAATGAACTGTCCATCGTAAGCGGTTTGCAACTTGTCGGTTAATTGAAGAGCTCATAAGTCAACTGAAGGGTCATCAGTCGATTGATAGAATGTTAGTCCCAGAAATAGAAACTTTTAATAATTCTGGCCAGTTTCTTTAATCGACTAATCCTTTGCATCAGTCGACTGATAACGGATTTTCAGTCTATTTTGATTTTTGAAAATGAATTTCTAGGACCTTTAAAAAATAGTAAATAAATTTCAAAAAATGTGAAACTTTGCGAAAAGTTTTCAAATATAATAACAAACTTGTTTGAAATTTTTTTGCAAAAAGGACCTCGTATTTGTGAAAACTCAATGTTTAGAAAAAAAAATATCAAAATACGAGTTTTGAAAATGTGTGAGTGTGTTATCCGAAAAACTTTAAATGTAATCTATCATACTACTTGCCTACATTAAGCACTAGAGAGAAATAAAAATGCAAATGTCTCTCATATATAAGTACATAGCTTGAGTCTTGATATTTGCTTCTATATTGATGAAGCTTCTCTTGTATGTTGTGCTCTTTAAAAACTTTGCTTCATCACTTTACCTCCACCTCAGGGGCTTGCTAGACGATAGGAGAAGGCTGAACATTTTTCACCTCTCCATCTTGGCATTCTTGGAACTCTTGAGAGAGATTCAAGAGAACCGAACCCAAGCACTTCTTGGGCAGTCGATCATTGATTCTTGGCTCAGGTATTCAGCTCCGATCAAGCTTATACCACACGATGAAGCTCATCGGCGGTCTCGTTCGACTCCTCAGGAGAAGAAGACCGAACCTTGAGATCTTGACATTTTCGGCCTACAAGCATAAGCCCTTGTTTGGCCTTAGTTGAACGAACTCAACAAAGAGCTTCTACCACGTGAGGAAGCTCGTCCCACCGAGCTTCTACTGTGTACTGAAGCTCAACCGCAACTTCGTTCGAATCGTCCAAGGGAAGCAAACTCGACACAAGCATTCGAGGGAGGCTCCTATCGCTACCAAAGAACCCATATTAAACAAGAAGAGCATTCTCTTCACTTTTGTTGTAACTTGATTCTTGATTTGTAATAAGCCATTCTTATCGATACAAATCTTCGGTGAACCATTTTATACCTCACACTCCCCATGCCCCCATCACTCTCTTCAAAGCCCCGACGATCTCCTCCATCGTCGCCACCACCGTCCCCTTCCCGCGGTCGCCCTTCCTGAACCCCTCCCACATCCTCGTCCCTATCCCCATTACCTCCATGGATATCTCCGCGTTGATGAATTGCTCGTGGAACAGCAACCACGTCACCATCGGGACTCCAGCACTCACCGATCTCTTCATCGTTGGAGAGGACGATCGTTGGCGGCCGCCATTGGGGAATAGGATGGAGGAAACAATTTCAAATCATCACATATAAAAAAAAAAGGAGAAAGAGAGAAAGAGTATTATGGTCTTCACATGTTTCAAACTCTTGGGTTTTGTGTTTTTAGGGCTCAGGGAATTATGAGTTTATTTGGTTTTGAGATTATTGAAAAAGTTTTGGGAATGAGTGGAACACTTGTAATAAAATTGGGGGCTAGAGGCAATTTTCCCTTATTTTTTTGATGAGAAAGGTCATGAGTGTATTGATAGGCAATACTAATGAATGCATGATAACCATTGCCCCATGTGATATTGTACAAGGCGCTAGGATTTTTTTTTCCTCCTGTTATCATAGCCGCATGGGTGACTCAGCTACCTGACAGAACTTGTGGGAGCAAAAAGATTCTTTGTGGCCCATCACAGTGAATAATCCTATTCAGCCAGGTACTCAGTACTCTAGGTACAAGACGAAGCGTTCTTTATTGGGGAGATACATTGCATCACTTGGTAATTGTACATGCATGGTTTTTAATATGAGTACATCTGGATTTGTTTTCATCTGAACTGTAACTTCTTAGTTAATTTGGTTTATTAAGAACTAAGTACTTTGGATGATGTTACAGCGACTATAGTGACTATAGTTCAAGTTCCATTTGACACGTT